TTCTACTCCCGTAAAGATTTACACCCTCGGAAACCCTGTACAGGGTCGCTATGGGTCGGACCCGACTCGATGGCACTTAACAACAACAACAACAATGATAATTGAACCTTTCCTTGGAATGGGGTTGGGTTCTGGATCTCGAGGCCAGACTTTTGCACTAACCTTTCTATGCGGTCCTACTGTAACAGCACCACCAGAGAGCACTGTTAAGTTTCCTTATGCTTCATGGTGGCAAAGTCAATGGGTTTCTCTCACTGATGAACTTGTTGCAGTTAACCACTCCAGTGCAGCTCAGAAGGGATTCCAGAGATTGTATTGTAAAGCTGAAAATACCTACAGGTAACCTGGTGCTTTCCATTGATGGTCTTCCAACAACTGCATCTCTGAGGATCAAAGTGACCTTTGCCATAATATTACATGTCTTGAAACATTGTTGACTGAAGAAGCTAACAGTGTTGCTAATACTTCTTCTCTACCATTGTTATTGCTTCTGGATTCTAGAGTAGTTTCTGTCTTTGTTCAGATAAATGTATGATAGGCATGTATTATTAACTATTCATCTTAGATAATGTCAGAGGGAAAGGATACAGTAGTCCTTACCTCCTGTGATTTTGTAGTCATTTCATTTTTTTTTTTAAATTAAATTGCATTTAGTTGATATTTCTTAGCAGTGAACTCTCATGTTCCCTGCCACCAGGAACCAAAACCCAATAAGGATAGTTAAGGATGTTAACAGTTGTCATTTCCTCCAGAGGCTTCTAGAAGCAGTAACTAATTGATAGGCAGATTTAATAATGATTCAGTGCAATGTTTATAAGTACTTTTAGTGGCTTTCCCGCAAAAACTTCTGGTTTGCTTGAAGGAGCTAAATGGACCGCTTCCACCACCCTTGCTTTGAGTTAATCTAACTGTCATGATGGACAGGCCATTAAAGTTCCTGTTATAAATACCTCTGCTTTGTTAAGCTCTCACAGGTCAGTGCTGATTTCTTTGTTAATGAACGTATCTTTAGAGTGGATGTGTTGTAGCACAGGGAAGTAGTGTGGTCAGCAGGTTGGGGCACATTTCTTGCAGTGTGTAAATTATGAGTGCGGCTTGTGAGAAGTGACTGGAAGAAGGCAACAAGCAGCCTCAGTATCTAAACATGATAGCAACTTTTTATCATTTTCTGTACGCCTTCTGAATTGTACTTGCATCTTTTATTTCCTCATGTAACATACTTTCTGACTCCCTACCACAGCCCCACGTTTCTCTGTGATTACCTTTTCTTTAGTTCTCTTCCTATCACCTCCATGTTCCTTCCTTTCATGTCTACATTCCACTGTCTATTATCCAATGTCTTACAGCTTTACTGTTTGTTTCCCCATACTTGTTGTTGTTGTTAAGTGCTGTTGAGTCGATTCTGACCCATAACGACCCTATATAGGGTTTCCAAGGAGCAGCTGGTGAGCTTGAACCGCCGACCTTGCAGTTAATAAAACTTTGCAATCTGGCTTATGATCCCACAGCACCACACCAGGACTTAGTCTCCTTGAAATATCTTTAGCTTTGTACATCCGCAAACATACATAACCTGCTGAGTATATTTCTGTCTATCCATATTATTGTTGTTAAGTGCGTCAGTCGGTTCCAACTTATAACAATCCTGAAGAGGGTTTCTGAGGAGTGACTGGTGAGTTTGAACCACTGACCTTGCAATTTAAACCAACCTTGAAGTCCAGTGCTGTCTTAGCCCCATGTTTTGGAAGGGAGCAGAGGGATTTGAGAAATTATTCTCATTAATTCATTTAAAGATAATTGAAGCTTCTTTCCCTTTACTCTTCAGTCTTGCTTTGATTATGCTAATACTTTGATTATGCTAATACTTTGTGACTTTTGATGTTATATACTTTATTTTCAATTTGTTGTTTCTGTCCACAGTAAGAATTATTTTTAGTGAGGACTACTAAGATTAACATTCCTAATATGTAAAACTGTGAAAACGCAAATGGTGTTGAAAACAATGAACACAAAATTTGTATAGGATTTAGGAAAAGTTAGGTGGATTATTGAACACTTACCAAAAATTAATTGTACTGATATGGAAAAATATTTGTAATAAGACTTCTTAATGCTTTTGATGATGAAAAATGCTATAATGTGATTCAATTTAAAAGTCAAATTAACAAGTTTAATTAAGGTAAGTGTTGTATTTAGCACTCTATTATTATTCTGAAGGTACTACTGCAAAGTGTTGTCTTACATTCCGATCTGTAAAGTAAATGCATTGGCAATAGCCTTAAATTAGTTATCCTTACCAGTTCATTTAGCATATTTAATTTTATATGTATTAATTATTTTGAAATAGGAATAAAGTTTATATTATGGTTATTAGTTTGATTGAAAGTTAACCATTTTTCAAGGAATAAAAAGTAACTTCAAGTAACTTCAAGAAAAGCATATTTGATTGATTTTCCCAGTACTTCAACAATTACATTTTATAATTAATATATTTATAATCACACTTAAAAAAAAAATCTCTTGAAAAATAAAGTTTGAATCCTAACAGTTCCTCTATGATAGAATGTCTTTACATGAGGATTGCTGCTTACTAATGGTTTTCTTCAAATTCTCTTTTTCCCCCTCTCCAGCCAGGCCCACAACTCCTCTTTCTGTAAGCACCATTGTCCCACCTCCAAGGCCTGCTTCCAGACCAAAGCTTACTTCAGGCAAACTCAGTGGGATTAATGAAATAGTATGTACTCAGGTGTTTGTTTGTTTTTAATTATGTAACTGTTTTGATTTAAGATGCAAATGATATTTTTCTATATGTTCCTTTATAATTAAATGATACAAGTTTTCGCCTCAAGTCAGTAAAGTACAGAAAAAGTTTCTCAGCCAGTATTCCTTTCCATATGGCTTCTATGACCCTGCCTGTGGAGCAGAACGGTGTTCAGGAGGAAAGAGATTTCCCGAGAAAGTAGACACATTGCAGAAATACCATTTACAATAAAGAAGCAATTTCCATGTAATTCTGCTTAAGCAAGAAATGGTGGCTTGCTCTTGGGCCTTAAAGAATACTGCCAGGAGGGTCCTGGAGGAAATGTAGTCCAGCTTTGTTTATTTTATATATGAGGAAACTGGAGCTCACAATCCTTGTATAAGTACATATGTTTTAATAAAGGGGGGAAAAAAGCATTGATCTTTAAAAGTCATCTAAAGATGAAAGAATTCAAAGTGAGGCCCTCCCAAACCAGTCTTTTTGCTTCCAATCTATTCTGCTTCGCTGCATCTCCCAAATTGTTGCCAAAATGAAACATTAAATTTCTAAAAGTCAAACTTAATCTTGTCCCCTCCCCCCACCCCTTTGCTGTGCCTCACAAGTGGCTCTTCATAATCTGTTTGATTGTTTGAGCTGGATTCTTAAGCTCTTCATAAAGTTGCCTGAACAATTGGCTTTACCGTATTAACTGTCCAACGTTCTCCTCTTTTCAACCTATACTTCAGCTGCTTGGAATATTCCAGTGTTCTCTGAACATGTCATTTTTTAAAATACATCCCTTGTCTTCTTATTCTGTTCCTTTTACCTAAAATGCCATTCAGTTTTCTATGTAACAAAGTGGCCTCTTTCTTTAAGACTCAGCTGTAACTATCAGCACCTAGGTAAAGTCCTCTTTGCTCATACCATAATGCCTTCCTTAACAGTTCTAATCATTCTTTTCCTGGTGTCCCATATGCTTTGCTCATATTTCGGTGAGTACACATATCGCAGTATATATACTTCCTTTGTGTGTGTTTCCTTAACTACTCTCCTTAGTCAATTTCATATCCTCAGTACTTTGCATAATACCTGTCACATGGTAGAAATGGTCAGTGAATGAATGAAAAGGCTTGAATATCAGATGTTGAAATGGTTTCCGTCTCTCTTTTGCCTTTTTATCCCAATAAACAAACAGTGGAAGTGAAATGAAAGATTAGGCAAGCTGCCAAAGAAATTGTTGTTATTTAAATAACAAAAATGACTACATTTAAGTAACTTGTTTTCATGATTACGGAAACAATGCTTGATCTTGCAAAATTTGGAAATAAAAAAAAAAAAAAAAAAGAGAAAATAAACTTCTTTAGTTTTACCTTGCAAAGATAACCACTGTTAACATCTTCACATATAGCCCTTCTTTATTTTTAATGCATAAATACTTATTTACTCAGAGTAAGTAAAACATAGTGGTTAAGAACAGGTTTATTAGCTACTTGCTAGCTGAGCAACCTTGGGCACATATTTATTCAAACTCAGTTTCTTCATGGGTAAAATGGGCTAATACTTAACAGGATGTGGTGAGAATCATATACAAAACACTTAGAAAACTGTCAGATGCCTTTGTGTTGTTAAGTGTCATCGACTCAGTTCTGACTCGCATCAACCCTGTGTAGGGTTTTTGAGGAGCAGATGGTGAGTTTGAACTGTTGGCCTTGTGGCTAGCTGTCCAGCTGACCCTACAGCACCCAACCAGGACTCTGTCAGGTGCCTGTTGTTGTTGTAGTTATGTGCCGTGGAGTCGGTTCCGACTCATAGCAACCCCGCACAGGGTTTCCGAGGCTGTAAATCTTTATGGGAGCAGAAAGCCTCATCTTTCTCGTTGGAAACAGCTTGTTGTTTCAAACTGCTGACCTTGCGGTTTGCAGCCCGATTCATAACCACTACGCTATGAGAGCTCCTTGTCAGGTACCTAGTAATTGTTCAGTTACTCCATCTTCTACATTATTGCCAGAATAAAATTTCTAAAAGCTGTAAGAAATTTGAGATTTACTTTATTTTCAAATTTTCATTATTATTAACAATGTCTTAGTGAATCACCTTATGCTTACTTCTTTGTAGACACTTCCTTAGTAAAATAAATTTGTAAGTGAATGCATCATCATTCAACAGTATTTGCTTCTGTTCTTCTGGTTATTTTTATTGTTGTTGTTGTTGTTTGTTTCTTATGTACACAGAAACACTCAGGAATATATAATCATTTAAACAATACAAGGGCACATTCTGCAAGCCTACCTCCTAGCTGCCAGCACACAGCCTTTCTCTTTCCATGAGTCAAGAGTCGTCAGTTGCTCTCTCTCTCCATGTGAAACTAATTTTAATAAGTTATTTTATTTTGTTCTATAGTCAAAATAGTAATGTTTTAACATGTATTCAGTATGAAAATTACAGAGCTGTTTCACATATTTTTTTGTGCTAAATCTTTGAAATCCAATTTTTTTTATACTTAAAATCTCATCTCCATTTCAAGTGCTCATCCACATGTGACTGGCAGTCACTGTACTGGATAGTGTTTTTTTTAACCTTTTTCTAAAAAATTATGAAATGCATTGTAAAGAATGCAGCCACATTCTATTGGCCATGAGGAGAAATGTTCCCCACAGTAGCTGATCTCAGGATGTAAGCTTTCCCAGGCATGTAAGCTTCAGATGCGGTCTCTGGGTGATTCACTGCCTAGTGAGCGTCAGAGCTGCATAATGGTGAGTCATCGAAAAGCTGTTCCTTGGTAAAGCAGAGTAACAGTAGTAAAATATGGTGCCAGTGTGAGCACGTGCAGATTCCAAACCACTGTATGCAATGTTATCTAATTGAAAATATATCTGTAAGCTAAGTCCTAAGCACTGGACTGCTAGCTGCAAGGTTAGCAGTACAAACCTACCAGCCTCTTTATAGTACCCTTGTACAGGGATGCTATGAGTTAGAACTGACTTGATGGCACTTAACAACAACAACAACACAGTCATGCATCGAAGGCTAGATTGGTTTTAGTATGTGAATGCTTATAGAGTTGGGTTTTATTTAACCTTTTGTTTTCATATTCCTCAAATAAATGAGGACAGTAGCAGTGTCTTTCTTATTCACTGCTTTGTCTCCAGTACCTATTGTTGGTGGTGGTGGTGTTATGTGCTGTGGAGTCGATTCCAACTCATAGCGACCCTGTGCAGGGTTTCCGAGGCTGTAAATCTTAACGGGAGCAGAAAGCCTCATTTTTCTCCCATGGAACAGCTGGTAGTTTCGAACTGCTGACCCTGAGGTTAGCAGCCTGATTCGTAACCACTATGCTACCAGAACTCCTTTTCAGTACCTATAGTTGGGTACATAATAGGCAGCAGGTAGAGATTCTTTGTATTTGCTAAATACTTTTAATTGTGTGGTATGAAGAGATCATTTTGAAATGAAGTCAACCATGCCTAACCAACTCAATGGCACTTAACAGCAACAACAACAAATGCCTAACTTCAAAAAGTGAAACACCTCAGAATGTGTTGCTAATGTATTATTAAAACAGTTCAGAATTTGGAAGGAAAAATAACCTGTGCACCACGTAGAAGAGAAATGAATTGACATTACATTTTTCATATTCATTTTTAAACCTCTGTATGTGTTGAATCTTGTCAATGAGGAATCATTACAAGGAATTACAAAGAAAACTATAGACAGATTTGTGAACACCATAAATAAAAGAGCAAACATTGTCTAGAGGGAAAATATTTACAGCAAATAAAGGAAAGGCTTAGTTAAAGCTTAAGGAATACTGAGACCTCCCAAAACTAAATTGTGGTTGCTGCTAAGTGCCAATGAGTTGTCTCCAACTCATAGCAATCCTGTATAGGGTGTCCAAAGATGGGCAGTTCAACATGACAAGTGCTTATCCTACAGCACCACACAGGGACTCTTAAATTAGAAGTTTATATGGACAAAGTGTGGCGTTGTGAGTTAATGTGCCAGACTGCAAAGCCGTTTGAACTACAAGGTCGGTGGTTCAAGCTCACCAGTTGCTCCTTGGAAACCCTGTACAGGGTCGCTATAGGTTGGAACTGACTCGAAGGCACTTAACAACAACAACAATGGACAAAGAGAAAATGCTAATTATGTTTTTATCTATTAAATTTTCTGACTTTTTGTTCTGTTTTCATATTTGGTAATTTTTTGCTTCTTCTAAGACTTAGCCATTCGTTTCTGGCAAGGGTATAGAGAAATAAATACTCACCTATATTTAGGTATATTAGGTATCATATATTAAGGGCAAACGGAATCATCCTTTAGGGAAACAGTTTGGTAGTATGTATAAAGAGCTTTAATAGTGTTAAATTATGTAACTTTTTGGAGTCTTTATTAAACCTAACTTGCTTTAAGACCCAGTTCACAACATTATTTTAAAGCTGCCTCTTTCAACTTCCAGTCCATTTTCATAAAATGATTTTGCCCCGTGCATCTCTGATTTTGATTTATGAGAGTCTCTCACAGTAAATGTGGATTGGTATATTAAAGATCAGTTTATCTGATACCGAAATCTTTTCTGAAAATGAAGGTGTTGTTTTAGTATTTTGATAAATAGCTTTTTGTTTTTAAGCCCAGGCCGTTCAGCCCACCTGTAACTTCTAACACCAGTCCACCTCCTGCGGCTCCCTTAGCTCGGGCAGAAAGTTCCTCCTCTATCTCCTCATCTGCTTCTTTGAGTGCGGCCAACACTCCAACAGTAGGTAAGTGGTTATCATCAGTTACATGTGAATTGTAGTGCCCAAAGTATGATTAGGATGATGATGATTTTAATGGACTAGGGAAAATTTGCCAGTGGAATTTTTTTTTTATGTGGAAACACACTGTCAGACTAGCTACAGTTCCATTTTCCTTTCACAATCTATATTTTAATCTGGGTTGTTGTTGTTGTTGTTGTTGTGTGCCGTGGAGTCG